CTGATTTGGCATTGAATAATTGTTCTCCCCTCTAACCCTCTCCTTTGTTTCTCCTCGTCGTCTCTCTCTCCTCTTCTCTCCTCTTCTCTCCCTTCTCTCCCTTCTCGTCTCGTGACGTCTGGAGGAGATTAGTTCGGGATGAGTGACGGGCTGAATTATGACTTCGACTGCTTCTTCCGCGATATCGGATGCTTTATGTTGAACCACTTAATATTCTGTGCAGCGTTTGTGGATTTAAAATGGGTAAGGTTTGAGCTACGCTTGGGCCGGTATAACGTAGGTGATAAACTTTTCAGCAATAATCAAGGAAAAATGACATCTCGCATTCAAGGCCAGCGGACTGTTCCCATCTTAAACAACTATCGAGAGGAAGTGCTTATGCCGAAAATGTCATCTTCAAAACCTAATTATCGTGACTTATCAAGCAGTTGTAAAAAAAAAATAGAATTCGCTTGATGCTCGACGATGTTCCTACTTTTCGTCTTGAATCTCTGGAGAGGAAATGTTTGCGAGGGATAGCAGACAGGTTGCATGTCGAAATGGCGACCAACCCCCCCCCCCCTCCCCCCGTGAAACGGCGATGAGGCGTGGAACTACAGGCAGAAATTGCACCCAGGGGGTAATGTATACCTCTGTTCGTGGACGAATGAATGGAACACGCGGCGGACAGGGCGACCTTTGACCTCGTCTGGCCTCTCGCGATTATGGCGCCCATTAAGGGCCTGCATCCAGCTTCCTGTCTCGGCTGCGATGATTGCCCCGTGCACACGTTTCGTGCCTTCGGGGCATGAACAAAAAAAAATCCAAAGAAGGAGCAAGGGAGAGGTGTTAGAGAGATGGAAAAGAAGGCGTGAAATTCAAGGCAAGGACAAATTCAGAACGATTAAAGAAAAAAAAAAAATCCCCTGTTCGCACCCCTCCAGAAAAAGTTCTCGTCGCGAGTTGCGCAACGGCCCCCTTCCTTTGTGATCCGGTACTTTCTACTTCTCGGGAGCGAAGTCTTGTTTGCGAGCGGAAAACCGTCGGAATCCGGACCGGCCGACGGCCACATGGCCGAAATGTAATAGAGACGGAAAACTATAATAATTATAAGGAATTAGGGGCTAGCCGCCGCTGATGGGCGCGATGAGAACTTCCAAATCCCGTCGCTTCTTCCCCCATCATTTGTCATCCCTCATTGTCGTGACCCCCCTCGTCATCGCCCTCCTCGTCGGTGACTCTAAGTAATAATTTCCTTCTTTCCGGATCGTCTTTGGAGGCCTGGCCCACCCGAGGAAAGCTCTCGTTAAGTAATGTAATATGGCGGGGGAAAATGCGAAGAGAAATCAAGATGTATCGCGATGAAAAAGATATAATACGCGCGAGACAGAACGATCGATAAACGAGTGTTCTTTATAATAATATTTGTTTATCGATAGATAAAGAAGTGAAGGGTCTCGAGCGTCCGACGGCGAAAACGTTTTGTCTCGCTCTTCGTCGAAGCGTGAAGATATTTTCTCACGAGACGAGCATACGAAACGAGCTGGGCCTAATCCAGAAATGCAAAAGCTGCGGTTTCCCCCGGGAGTGGAAGGGATCGTGAGAACGGAGTCACGCGCAGAGGAGGAGGAGGAGGAGAGGGGAGGCCGATCGCTCGCTAATCACCTCCTCCTCTGCCCCGGGTCCGTAATTGAAGAGCCTCGGGGCGGTGGGCATAATCGCGACCGGAAGTTCGAGACCACCATAGGGTCCATATACAATGAACCCGCTTTTCTTCCTCTTTTTTCCCCCTTGACCACATTTGGGAGTTTATTCCCTCTTCCTTCGACTGCACTTGACCCCCTACGAGGCAGGATTCGGCTCCATCTGGCCCGTGCATAAAGAAACGAGACCCACACCGGCGCTTTGTGAGGCAGAAAAGCCATAGTTGGCTTCACAAGGGAATCGTTTCGCACTCATAATGGAAGGAGTTGGAGGTTTCGAGACGGCCAAACCGTCGAATTTCTCGAATGACCGGATTTAAAAAAGAAAGACGGAAATCCAACTGTTTCTCCCCGATTCCATTCCGATGAACGCAGGCAAGGAAGCCTGTATTCAACCGAATACAGACCCTCTTTTTCTCTTCCTAAATATTTCAGGTTCATTAGAAGCACTAATGACGTTGTCGGACGAATGGTACTTTCTATTTGAGAGGAATTTACCGGCCTAAAATGCAGATCTTTGCAGCCTGAATTTGCTCTCCCGTAACTATCTCGGAAATGCTTTCGGTTGAAGCGAGATTCTTGGATTCTTTCGATTCGATTCACCTTTCTTTCCTTTTCTTCCCTCACCGAGAGAAAACACCGCACGAAACAGACCCCTAATTATTAGAGGTAGAGATTCCGTTCGATTCTCGATCGGATTCACCCCCCATTTTCCCCCCTTTTCTCCGGGGATGTTGGAACCCGTGGGAAGGAGCCAAGAGATGAATGAGATGAATGAGACTCGTGATGCTGCACCTGAGTCATCCAATTCTACCTGTCGGCCCCTTTTTTTTCCCTCCCCTCCCCCCCTCCCCCCCTCCCCATCTTGCCCCCAGGTCGTCATTGTGGCTCCCCCGTCCCCGGCAAACCCCAAGACCCGTCGGCATTTAGAACGCAGCCACTCATCGACGACACGAAGACGGAAGAAACGAACCCGAGCGATAAGATCCTCATCGAAGCGGTTCAGATTGATCGATTCATCATCGGCCTGAATGAGACCGGGGGGGAGGGGGGGGGGGGGGGGGGGGGGGGGAGGGGGGGGGTGGGGGGGGGGGGGGGGGGGGGGGGGGGGGGGGGGGGGGACGTGAAAGCGGAGGTGACATTTTCGGGGATGTCACCCACGTCGAGGTCCTTATCGCATCCAAACTTTCCCCTCCCACTTCCTGTTTATACACCTCCGATATAAAAGCCCCATACGTCTTGTCTCCTTTTTTTTGCGCAATGATGGATCATCGATCGCCGTCTTTGATTTCCACTCCTGCCTCTATCTCACGCCGGTTGTCCTTCATGAAAGTCGAATGCGTTTCATCTGGTATCTGCGGTTCGAGGTCCAAGGCGCCCGTCCTATTGTCTTCCAGACTTTTCTCTGGACTTCCGTATGCTTCTGTTTTCGGAGAAGTCGGCGTAGGATTCGATTTCTATCCGTATTTTTTATTTATTATTTGTAGCTCGTATTTGAAACTCGTATTTGAAACTCGTATTTGAAACTCGTATTTGAAACTCGTATTTGAAGCTCGTATTTGAAACTCGTATTTGAAACTCGTATTTGAAACTCGTATTTGAAACTCGTATTTGAAACTCGTATTTGAAACTCGTATTTGAAACTCGTATTTGAAACTCGTATTTGAAACTCGTATTTGAAACTCGTATTTGAAACTCGTATTTGAGGATCGGATTGCGACCGTTCGTGACGGAAAAAAAATCGAGAATGCATTTTAACGGTTCCGTACCACCTTCGAGAAGAAGACGTTGAGGAAAAGCCAAAGAAGAAGAAGAAGAAAGAGAAAGAGCGAAGGCCTTGGATGTTTTCTTCCGTGCAGTTGGGCACCTTTGAATCACCTTTGAATCGGGACATAATTCCTGGATTTCATGCCTCGGTGTCCACGCTTCTGGGAGTGGCTCCTTCCATGACGTAAAAAGGGGGCCGGGATTCAACGGACCCAGCATTCCAAAGGAGAAATCCCACAAAATACCCGTATTTCCTGCCCCTTTTCACGATGACTCGGCATGAGGAGTCGGAATGAACCAGTTGAATTAACCAATCATTAGCTCGAGGCAAAAGGGGGGGGGGGGGGGGGGGGGCAAGGCTTCTGTTGCATGGAAAAAGGCAAGCCCCGTCTCTGGTATGCTGGCCTAAACGGCTTGAACGGAACGAATTCTCTTTCTCCCCTTTCATCCCAGGAAACATTCCTCTTTTTTGAGGTTTTCATCCGCGGCTTTTTTTTTTCGCCGATTCTGGAATGTGCGGACGTGTTCGCATTCATCTTGGATCACGATCCCTCTCCACTTTTTTGTCGTAAGAATAAAAGGCTTTTTACGGCCATACAAGTGCGTAACCGGGCATTCCCGCTTTTTTAATGCACATTTTATGCTCTGCAAAGTTCGGCGTGAAATATTCCAGTTCATATGATGCGGGAGTTCTGTAAGAATTGGAACTTTTTGCGCAGGAACGAAGTAATGCACTCAAGAGGACAGAGTCAAAGCGATTTACATATCGTTAAAAAAAATGAGGGATCGTGCCGCTAGTTCCGTGCATTCCCTCCGAATGCGTCCACGCTTTTCGATTGCTCCGTCTCGTTCGCATCGTGCAGATCATCTCGATCGCCCGACGATCTGTACGATGCAGAGCCCAGCGAGTCGAGCGAAACTCGAGACTGCAATTTTCTGTCGAAAGCCAAATGGCTTGCGGACGGTCACGGACTCGTCTGTCGTACTTGAGCAAGACCCGGAAGTCGCCGGAACGCACGAGGTCGTTACGAGAAGAGCGTCGAGAAAAGATGGACCTTTCACCTTTTTCTTCGGTCGTCGTTTGCGACGAAAACGATTTATTCGAGAGGTCGGTCTGTTTTCTGTGCTCGTCGGTGAGATCGGTCCGAGGAAGAGATCCATGTCTCCCGTCCTCTCGGACGCTTCGTATTTTGTATTTGGACGACTTCGGTGCGATAAGATCCGGAGCATGTTCCCTCTATTGTGGACGAGGCTCGGATCTTTGTCGGGTCTCGCTTGCCCCCTGACATTCATCTCCCTCCTTCCTTATCCTTCCCCTCATGCCTCATTCATCCGATCGGAGTCCGCGGAAGATAGGGAATGCATGGGGGAGGGGGAGGGGGGCTCGCTCTCGGCTCGGATCCACTCCGATTCCTTTCCTCTGTCGGAAGCGATGCTCTTTTTTCTGCGTATTTTCTCGCCGTGTGTTCATTAACCGAAGAATCGAAATCGGGAGGGATTTCAGAGAAACGAAACGACGTCTTTATTCATAGAATATCGAATATCAGAAGAGGCTCGGATATCACAGGACCGTAATCACATAAGACCAGACAACGGATGAGCATTTTCACCAAGGTCTCCAAAGATCGGCAGGAGAACAGAGGGGCGGGGAAACGGGTTCGGATTTCGGATTTCGCGTCGGACGATTCCTCTCCTGCAGATGGCTCTGGTGATAGACGGGAAACGGGAAACTTTTCCCCTTGTTGGTCTCCTTCTGGAGGAGCTGTTTCTCGACGACGCCGAGGTTGGTGTCGCCGAAGGGTCGGAGCTTGCGGGCGCAGGCGGCGAGGTGCGACAGGAGGCGGGCCCTCGTGCCCCCCTCGAGATCGGTCATCCCTCCGACGCATTTCGTCACCTCGCTCAGGCATTCCCGGAATCCGGCCTCGTATTTCACGAATCCGTTCTCCTGACTCTTGCACTCCTCTTGCAGATCTCGAACGTGCTGCACCGTCAGCTCGAGGATGTCCGCCTTCTCCAACTTCATCGGCTTCGGTCCCTGTTTCCCAAATCGAACGATTTCAGACGTTAGCACGGCTCGAATTTTGCATTTCTGAGCGAAGATGATGATTAAATAGCAAAGTTAAATCGATAGCAAAGTCTTCCCATTCTAATACGAGCTCGTTTTGTGATTCTTGAAAAATGGTCTTTGTGAAATCACACGAGATTTATGGCGGAGGGAGGGAACTCGAGACTGCAGGTGCTCGTCGCGTAGGGGAACCCTTCAAAGGAACAGAGACAGAGAATCGTAAAACGTTTCTCTCACCTGAGCCTTTATGACCTTCCCTTCGAGGAGCATATCCTTGAGTTCGTCCAGGCATGTGTTGATCCGAGCTCGTCGACGCTTCTCCATGAGCGGTTTCCGGATCTGAAAGCAAAACGTTGCAACCCATAATGTGCCTTTTCTTCGCCAGGTTTCTAGGAGCAAGCGCTACGGAAGCTTTTGTAAACGTGGTAGATTTATCTTTACTTCCTCGATTACATATTCGCAGTTCAAACTACGCAGCATCTTCCGGATGAAGTGCACGGAATACCCCGAAAATTCTGTTTCCTTTGGTCGTATTGAACAGACCACAGAGCTAGACAACTAAACAAACGTGGAAAACTCACCTTGCGATGCTCCCGAGGAGGCAAGGGTTCCGTTGCACTTCCCATGTCTGAAGCGAAGATTATTCAAAAAAATAAGGCACCCACGGAAGGCACTCGTGTGCGAAAACGAAAGAACCAAGAAAAATGCTGGCACGTGTCTCGTCGCGCGAGCCGAAGTGTGGATACGTGCGCCGAGGCGTGCGACTATACCTTGCACGAGGCGAAGGGAAGGAGCGGGCGGGGGGGAAGCGGCGCCACGTGACCCAACCCATCTCGCCGTCTCATTCGCGCGGCTTCCCTTTGATGATCCTCCGGTCGACCAATGGCGAGGCGAGAAACCTAGCCATTGTCAGCTCCTTATGTCAACTTCTCAGCGGCTCATTAGCCGAGCGTGGGAACACGCGAGGGAAGGAGGTAACAAGCCACTCCTTTTTTTCGCTCTTCCCTTCTCTTTTTTTCTTTTTAGCATTTCATTTGTCTTCCTGACTCCTTTCGAGCCCTGACCTTCCCCATTCACGGAAACACTTTCTCGACGGCACGCATAATGGGAGAGACTTAGCTGCGAGCCGTTAAAGTTGCCATTCCCTGCTGGCGTAAATCGTTCCGAACAGGCTTGCAGTGTATAGACAAATCTTAAATCCTCCACCTCGATATGCCCGAACCCCAGGCAATTGATATCCTCCAGACAAGTCTGAGTTCCTTCACCGTATAAACCCGCCTCTCAACATCGTGAGAGAATTCTCTTTGAAAATCCTCTGCTCTCTGGCTTCGCACGTCAGCTGAGTACAGCTGAGCTGAGAGATCGATAAATACTCTGAAAGATTTACCTCACTTGTTGCAGCCTTGCGGACACGGATAGCTTTAATTTATACCAGTCCGCATTCAGTAGTTTACCGTTCAAGTTTTTCAAATATTTTGTCTAATTATTGTTCTAAAAATGTCTTAACTTTGACTCCAGTTTCGGCTGTCCGAAATGACGATGTTCAACAATGACAATGAACATGCGACGTATAACATAATTGTTCTGAAACCCATATAACGCAGAGAAGTCGTGGGTGATTTGGAAATTATTTTCTCATTGGATTTAGGGGAAAAGGATGCCACTGTGTAATATGTGGCGCCGGTCTAATACTTCAATGGCGTTACATTAGCGGCTATTTTAACTTAAAAAAAAGCTAAGCCAGCGTAACGGCAGACTAGTACAATGACGCAGCACGCGCAAAGAATGTGAAAAAATTGAAGCGCTGGCGGGAGTGAAACTCTTAGGGCTGGGAAACCCGTATACAATCCAATATGCCGTGCAATTGTGTTCTGCCTAAACACCGAAAATGGCATGGCCAGCATACGAGGAGACGGAATAGGATATTGTAATCAATTTCTTTGGCTAGGTCTCTGATCTCAGCCATGAGAATGTTAAAGCCGAGTTTGCCTCGTCAATCCTCGGGTTGACAAGGATATTCATCAACGTAACTTGAAAGAATCTTAGTTGTAACAATTCGTGTTTGCTGTCGACTGCAAGGAATTCGTCTCGCCGGAAGTATTTTGAATGGGATGATCCCAAAATTTCCTGTTTCCGGAATCGCGGCATATCATGTAAGGGGCTTATCGAATTCCTTCAGAGAGAATATTTGAACTCGTGCAAAAGAAACCAAAGTTACCGGAACGTGTGATTAGACCGGATCATTTTTAAAGTTTAATCTGCGCGAGGATCTCGTAATAAGCAGTTTTTATTTTCTGAAAGAGGCAGGAAAACGTTTTCCGTAGCTGTGAAGTGGAAGTGGAAGTTCGCATTAAATTTGTTCTTAGATCCTCGAAAAGCAAGGAGCCACGAAGTGAAAAGAAAAGGAGATGAGGATTCGATTCGATAATGCACCCCATTACAAAATCTGATTGCCTCGCGGTAATCAACTTCGTACTTATGATCGAACGGCAGGCTGAGCACCGAATGGCTTTCCTCTTGCTCTATCCCACTCTCTCTCTCTCTCCCCCCCTCTTCTCTGTCTCTCTTCCTCCCTCCCTCTCTCTGTTTTGCGTCTTTCTTTTTGCCTGTGCCGCGATGCAGACATTGCTGATCCGCATTCGAACCTTTTTGAAAATTTATTAGGTTTTGCCATGCGTAAATTAGGGCCTGGAACATGCAGCATGTATCTGAAGCTGATGCTGAGCAGGCCTATTTAAAAACTTAAAAAAATATTCCGGTCAATTTAACCTGTTCCGCGCAGCCCATATAGCTACTTCGTTCGCGGTGCAATGTCCTCAGCGTGCTTCGAACGTAGTAGCTACGTTTCACCTTCTCTGTTGAATGGGACTACGGATACAGCCGAGACCCAGGGCAGAGGAGGGGAAAGGGGGGGGGGGGGGGGGGGGGGGGGGGGGGGGGAACTTGGAACCTGTGAAAAATTTCTGTANGGCAGAGAGGCTTGGAACGGACTGGTTTTACTACCTGAATACTCCAATGATGGAGCCAGGCTTCACAATGGCGTTGCAGTTGCTTTTTATTACCTGGGGAGGCCACGTAAGGCGTATACTATCCAACATTATAAGCAAAATCAGAGGCCCTCTGCTGGCGTTGCATGATGGTACGTGCTGCGTAGATATGTATACTTGGAATATGCAAACATAACTGCTGCCAACCTCAAGCCTAAGGCCTCGAGACTTCCCAAAATGGAGAAGCCACAAGTGAGCAACGGCTGTACGGGTTCTTTTGGCGATTCGGAGTCATGGTGCCCTTAACTTTTTTTTTCATCATTATTTAAGCACTTCTCATATCCAGAGAAAACCGAATAGAAATGCCAATTTCTCCATTTAAAAGTTGCCCTTATTCTTAGTAAAATACAATCGAGCCCGCAAGTATGACCATCACGTTCATCTTGCAGGTGACGATTCGCATGTCTGCTGAGAACTCGGAGACTCAAGAGGCAATCCGACAACAAAGCCCCACAGACATGATCGGTTCTATTCCTCCGTCCTGTCCTCCATCGACGAAAAGGTGAGCTTGAACTGGTGTCAGATGCGTTAGTTTCTACCGTGGTGCACTTCAGAGCTGGGTCGGTCGGGAAAGGGTGGTACTTTATAACTACTACTATAACGGTGAACCTACTCTTCATGACTGCAGCAATCTGCAGTTATGAAGAGTAGGTTCACCGTGGATTGCATCTTCATTCTCAGTACTCTGGGGTAGGAAATGGCGATCAAAATGAAAATAAATTCGTAAGTCGCTTTCGACTCCCAGAGACCCTTTTGACACGGTAGCGATTGTGATGTTGAGAGCTCTGAGGTCATCGGAGAAGTTTCTAAGGTGTATGGGATGAATGTGCGAAGAGATTATCAAGGTTGCTAACTGTCAGCGTTGTTCATGTTGTTTCTGTGTGACTTATCTGGGTCTTTAGCTGAAGATTGCCTTGCGACCTAGATTAATATTACTGAATGCACTGCATGCTGTATGGAGACAATCTGGTAAAAATTTCAACGACTCCCGCAGGACTGCAGAAAGCACTATATCGGTGACAACGTTACGATCATAAGGGAACGAAGAGGCGAAGAGGTGAGAAGCGACTAAAATCATGGGATACCTGGAAGTGATACTTTCTCCTACTTGGAAATAGTAGCATTTCATGCAGGGAATGTAATGCTCTTAGAGAAAACGCAAAAGCCGGAGAAAGGGAGCTCTTCAGTTCCCAGAATATATTTTTTTTTTAAAGGAAGAGTTCGAATAACTCTTGTAGCTTTGCACGAAGGTTGTTTGATGCTCTGGTCTCCAGCACGGTCCAACTAGGTATGACAATTCAGTTCCAGGACTTAATTTTTTTTATGAGGCGAGTGGCGTCGTGGACTGATACATTGTCTTACAATGTTATGCAAGTCTTCATGTGACTCGCATCGCTAATGTGGGACAGGTGGGAAACGAAGCGACACAAAGTATAAAGCACAGGTTGTACTCCTGAAGCGAATGAATGAAGCAATGCATCGCAAGTTTCGCTTCTTACTGGGGAAAATGGCACGTATTACCCATCAAATGCTGCAACAAGTGTATGGACAGGATACCATGTCACGTTCCAGGACTTCCGAATGGTTCGCATGGTTTTGAGCCGGTAGAGAAGAAGTGGGAAATGTCAGTTGTGATCAACCGTCCACGAGTCACAATGACAAAGCCGTTACAATTGCGTCGCTACACAGACCCCAACCTTGCGAACAACTCAAAAGTTGAAGATGGTGAGGCATCCCGTCCGTGCACTTGTTGCGACGTAAGATGGGTGTCTGATGCTGGTTTTCCTCAGTTCGAGACAAGACTTGTGATACATTGCTTCATTCTGGGAATACGACAGATGCTTTACACGCCGCTGTCTTCGTTGCCAGCCAATCTCACATTAGCCATGCCGGGCAGATTGGGACTTGCACAAGACTACCCAACGGTCCCTTGTATCCGTGGTGTGGCAATACTCATTACGACGTCATGGTGCTTATAAAAAATCAGTCTGGAACTTAACTATCACACCTTGTATATGGAGCTGGAATTTGGGGAGCCCTCGAATATGAAGTCGAAAAGCTGGAAATCTCCTTTCTAAATAGTATCAACAGGCGAGCAGAAAGAGTTTAAACGTAATTACTCCCTAAGAACACGGAAGATGTGAGATGATGGTTGCACAATTTGGAGATTGGTGAAATACCAGATGAGAGTATGATATATGCATCCCACAACTGGAAAATACTATGAATCGCTAACTGATCGGACAGAAACCAATGAGCGTCCTTGAAGGAAAGATGTGATTGGACCAGCTGGGTTTCTCCTTCGTGTGGCGCTTTGGATCGGGACGGATCGGGAGGGAGTTGCTTCTTTGTTTAGTGCAATAGGGGATGCATGGCAATCGGTTTCCAACGCATTTGAAACGGAAATCGATGTGATGCCAACAATGAACCATTTGCAAAAAGGCGAGTACCTCCCTCAGCCCAGAGAAGTACCTGAACGAATGACATCGACAGGTGCTTGAACTACTTAAACTAGGAGATTGATAAATGCAAATTGAAAATGAAACGGGAGCAGGAGGACGTCCTACCTGTCCTTGATGTGGAAGGAGACTCAGCTACATGTACTAGGGGAATGGGAGAGATATAAAGAATCGAGAAAGAAATATTCCATGACATGTATAATGATGGAAAAAGAACTTAATTTACCTAAGGAAGGAAGAAAGAGTATTCA